AAAGGTATCATACCTTGGGCGTCCTTTAATTGGAGAGAAAAGAAGACGTAGATAAATTATTGGCTTGTAAATATACCGGCTAAATTTAAGTAGATTTTATAGTGACGTTTTCATGATATAATTTTAATTACCACGATAGTGCAAAATTCCGCTTTATTCGATTACATTTTTGTTGTAAGATGTCAGATGAAGCTTCTATTAACGTTCATTAAAATAAATAATTATTACAAACTGGAATAATCGAAATCCTTAATTTTACTAAGACATAGACTAAACGGCAGTTCCCGTTTAGTCTATGTCTTAGTAGACATAGACTAAACGGTCTATGTCTACTAAGACATAGACTAAACGGGAAAAGGATGGCCGTACCATCCTTTTCTCGAAGCAGTTCAGGCCATTTTCGAAACCCTATAACTTTGTTGTGGATAAAACTAGAAGCCTGAATTTTGAGTAACCAAGCATGTATTGTATAAACACAGTATTTTTCAAATTTCATTCAATTTCAACCAGTATTTTAAGTATTATAACTAGTCAAAGTTTCTTAATATTGTCACTCACTGACTGACCGATCATCAAAAATCTAAGGCACTTCTAGCAGACGTTGAAGCTTCAAATTTAGAATACAATTAGTGTTTAATGTATAAATCAAGGAAAAACTAAAATATTTTGTAATTTCGGTCCAGTTTTCTAGATACACCAACTGCACAAATAACTTTGTTATCTTATATAGGATTATAAAATTACATTTGCAATGAATGAATTAATGTACCTATTATGTATAATAATATAATGGAATAATTGATTTAGATAGGTACCTAGATATAATTATATTAAAGTTAACTTGAAAATGGTCAACGGAATGAAAAAGCAAGAATGGGACATGTCTTGTGAAGTTGTACCAAAATCCCGCAAAGTATTAAGTGGACTAAATTGCCCGAAAATCCTTAGTTGGTATGCAAGAAGTAGATGGTAGTAAAAATCTTTTATGTTTTAAATACATCGATTGACTTGGCAATCGCACTAAACAATCTCGTTTAATATAAAATGTATTACTTGTGAGATACATTGTATTTTCATGCGATGGCCAAGTCAATCTATGTATTTAAAACATAAAAGATTTTTAATATTGATATGGTCACTATAAGATGTTGTTAGGTTAGCTAATTACGTAATAACTTGAGACAGAAGGACCCTTAAATAGGGACTGGATAAATTAACCGACTTGGTATTACATGGATCTCACAACTTTTTACGGTAGAAGAACTGAGTTGCGAGACTTGGTTTTTTAGAAGTTGTGTTTTTGACGGCATTAATTTATTGAAAAAGTTTATGTTTTGCTAATGGCACGTCGAATGGAAAAACGCCAACAACCTTGTAAAAGAAAGAAGGTGAGATTAATAAAGCTCTTATTTTTACCACGTAAAACGTGAAGGGTTCAACTACAAGAATTTTTTTCTTATTAATGTTTAACAACATATATAAAGTTAATCAAGTGACAGTTGTCTGATAAAGAAATAATTAAAGGAAAGTGTTCTCTATAGAATAGGTCCCTTGTCAGTTTGGATATTATTAAATTTAATGGAAATTTTATTACATGTGAGCTATACACTCTGTAGGTATAATATGACTGCAACACAAAGTCAGTCTGACCAAAGAAGTAAAATATCAGCATTACTGTTAACACTGACATAAGACATATTAATAATTGAAAAGAAAGTTCATATTCTATTGGTAGTTTTATTCGTCGGATAAAAAAATATTAAGTACATTTGAATTATTATATAATAGCGTAATAGCGAAAGAAGGGTAAGGCGTGGCTAACTGGGATGTCCTTTGGGACAACCCAAGGCCGTGGAATCATTTAACGTATAATTTCGTAATTCCCACTTTGAGCATTTGAGGCCTTTCAAGTTCACTTTTGTTAGAACGACTACACTGCTCTTTAAAAGCGTTATAATAACTTCTAAAATAATAATTATTATACTCGTATATGGCAGGTTCTATACAGTAGTTAATCCTTTGTATTAATAATAAAAAATAAAAATATAACGATATACGACGATAAATGAAAATTATCATTTATCGTCATCTTAGTGCACGACGGAAGTCCACTGTTGAACTAAGTCAACAAGAAACGCCACAAAGTACGGTCTTAATCATCTGCATCCATCTGTTTCTGCATCTCTTACCAGTTTGTCATTCCATCTAGTGGGAGGCCACCCTACACTTCGCTTAGCATTACAGCAGGCTGTGCCATTCAAGAACCTTTCTTTCCCACCATAGTGATCTGATTGATTGACTTGATTGCCATGTTGCTCTAGTGGCCGTATTTTGAACCCGGTTCGAATCCTGAATCAGGCCGGCATCAGTCATAGGGTTGTTGTCAAGAAAATCTCAGTAGCAGCCCGGAGTCGCAACCAGAAGTACGAGGTAAGTACCAGGAGTAGCAACCAGTAGTTTGGCGGTGTTTCGCTCTGTGCCTCGTAAAAGAGTTGGTCCTGCGCCTGATCGCTCCCGGTCGTGTCGGTATGCTCTTACATCGTATTGTGAGAGTGAAGGCATAGATCATACACCGTGCAGTACAATCCTGTCCTGTGCATTTTTACAAATTGGCTGCCGGGGCCTATTTTCAATCTGGACTTCATTGGAGGATGTTATATTAAAAAAAAATTCAATATCTATTTAGGCCAGACGACGAGTATGAGATTTTAGTTTTGTTGAATTTGACACAGAACACCAAAGAATATTAAGAATTAATGTGAAGTATAATAAATTATAAACTTAACTTCTCTTAAGGAAACCTCTTTCTAAAAACATGGTGTGAATATAGGCCTAATACATCGTACAAAAACTTAAATAGAATAATTTTCATGACTGTACAAAGTTTAAAGGTTATAAAAAATAATGTGTTGATGAATAATAATTATATTTCCATTTTCGATTCAAATTTACCTTTAGGCGGCCAATTAAGAGTAACTTTAATTAAAATTCAACGTTAAAGAAGAAAATCATAAGGCGACGTTATCCGTTATGAAGCTTAATTAAAGGTTGTTTAAAAGTATCTTAAGTTGCAGAAAATGACCTTAACGATGACTTAATCATTCCTAATTTTAACAATTATTTAATTAACCGATATTGGATCTAATCGGACATTGGCATTTCTCGCAACTACACTTTCACGGTATTTCTCTATATATAAAAATCAAATGCTGTCCGTTAGTCTCGCTAAAACTCGAAAACGGCTCGAAAAATTTTAATGAATTTTTTTGTGTGCGTTTAGTTTAGAATTTTGATATGTTTGAATTTTTATAAACTCTCTTGAAATACTACATACATACGAATTGCTAGGCGATTAAGAATACTCTAAAATCGGCTCATCATCCATAATATCGCCAGCCATTTTAATTCAGTCTTAGCTAATTCCTTAATGATCGCATTTCTACAGCATCCCTGGGTTAAACATTATACAGTATAGCGCTTAGTCAAAAGATTAATGCAAATTTCATGTTTTACACAATATAGGGTAGTGGATATTCTTACACTGCCACTACATGGTCAACACCAAGACAAAAATGTTATCTATCACTTTGTCTTCGTTTGAAGTACTTCGATGTAATGAAATTGAAGTACTTTAATTCAACTTTGCATTCAACAGCTTTTCATTCAACACTTAATTTTTTTTATTTTTACTATACATCTATACAAATAAAATTAAATTGTCTGTTTGTAATATCAAAATTACAGCTTAAGCAAAATATCATTTTAATAAATTCATAATATGAAAGTATGTATATACCAGAAACAGAAACAGAAACAGAAACTTTTTTATTCAATATAGATTATAAATAATACTTATTGAAAGTCACTCTTTTGTTTGATTACCACTGGTTCGGAAAAAAACCTCTGTCCTGGGAAGAACCAGCAAGAAACCCAGCGGGACTTTTTTTAGAAATAGCTTGGTAGCGATCACCTCATTTCCAGGGGTTATTATCATCCATAAATTCCTTAATATTATAATAACCCTTTTTATACAAACTTAGTTTAATAAAGTTTATGAACTTTGAACAGTCCAAACTTTGTATATTTTCTGGAATTTTGTTGTAAAAGCGTATACATCGCCCCAAGAATGAATTACTGACTCGATGGAGTCGAGTAACTGGTACTACTAGCTTGTGTCTGTTCCTAGTATTTACAGAATGAATATCACTTATTTTTATAAAACTACTTTTATTTTTGTGTACGTACGTTACATTTTCATAAATGTATTGAGAGGCCAAAGTTAATAAATTAATTTCCTTAAATTTTTGTCGCAGCGACTCTTTAGGCTTTAAATCATAAATTGCTCTTATGGCCCTCTTCTGCAAAACAAATATAATTTCAGTGTCAGCTGCGTGTCCCCATAGCAGAATACCATACGACATTATGCTATGGAAGTAGCTGAAGTAAACTAGTCTAGCTGTTTCAACACTGGTTAGACTTCTAATCTTTTTTACAGCATATGCTGCAGAACTAAGTCTGCTTGCTAGTTTTGATATATAGGGGCTCCATTGAAGCTTCGCGTCTAGTGTGACCAGTAGGTACTTAGGTACGGTACTTATAATAAAACCACAATTTTTGAAATTGTGGTTTTATTATAAGTACCGTATCTGTTTCTGTCTGTTTATGCCGGCTAATTTTCAAAATGGTTAGACCGATTTGACGGGACTGTCACTGGCAAATAGCTGATGTTATAAGGAGTAACTAGGCTATTTTAGAAAAATAATTAGAATTAAGCGCAAAAAAAAACGCTATATTACACCCGGGTGAAGTAGCGGGGTGCAGCTTGTTTTAGAATATAAGGCGTGTTAGATCGGGTCTTAACGTTAAACACTGGCTTGTGATAAGTAAAAAAAAAAATAAAAATCTTTTAGTAAGGACATAGTTGACTTGAGATTATTTATTTTGTTATGAACCAACAACAGTGGTACTGACAGTTAACTCCATTCGAAAACATCACTAGGATGCCGTTAGAGCTGGCCCAGATCCTATGTACCAGGGATGTACAGTGTACACTGTTTGCGTATGATCGCGTAGAAGCAATTTGTTTGCGCTTCAACGAATATCCCCGATGCTCTGCAAATCCGCGGCAGCCCCATCAGCACCCGAAATTCATTATTGTATTCATTATTATACGCACAGGGGTGCTATACTGCTGTGGAGAGTAATTAACCTAGAGGCTGCTCGTGTTAATTATTCTCAAACAGCGTAAAATTTTTTAACTTCAGTTGTGCAACGAACAAACCTACGAATGAGCGGGCTATTACTCGGAAGAAAAATAATATACGTATTCAAATTATTCACCCCGTCTGGGGTGGATAAACGAACACGCGTTTCCGAGTATCACCCTAAGGTGGATTTCTTAGGGTAGATAAATGGAATAAACCGATTGAGCAAATATTAGCACTTACAGACCTGCGCTCTCTATCCATATCTAAATTGTCCCTCAGAGGTTACCAAACAAGCAAGATATTTAAACTGTTCTACTCTCTTCATCTCTATATTCAATTTAATAGATGAAACGCTAAGTGGGCTTTTGTTTATAGTCTGAAAGATCAGAAATTTACTAATTTTTTTTATAGGATAGGATGACAAACGAGCACACAGTACACTTGATTATTTTTTATTTTTTTTTATTTATTTAACAAGTACACTTACAATATACATAACTGACATTGTCACAAAAACTTACACACTTTTATATTTTCTGATATGCATATCAATTACAGGTGTACATAACATTTACAGATTCAGTCGTGCAACTTAATTGATGAAGTCCACTGTTAAACATAAGCCATGTTTAACAGTGGTCTTTATTAGGCTGTAACGGTAACGGTACAGGAGTGATTTTAGTAACGACTAAACAAGAACGTTAAGAAGTGAACTCTTATTGGCTTCATGATAGTAGAAACTTCAGATCGCTATAATTTGTGAGTTAAGAAGATTTTTATTTTATATCAGAGAGTCATTCTAGAGTCCTCTCCCGCGTTCCCTTTCAGGTAGTGTGATTCGTTCAGGACAAGTTATAAGGTGGTGCCTTCAGTATTTACTGCTTCTATGTTGTTTTGTATGTTTATTTAATTTTGTTTATTTGTTTATTTCAGAGAAATGGTGCAATAAGCAATAAGAACATTTCTAAGCCTTACTGGTATCGACGTAGAAATAGCACAGTAAATTATCTTTAGTTTTTTTTTTACAATGTCATTAGTAAGATTACATGTCAATAAAATAATATTATATTAATCTAATAATAGTAATATCACTTATTAACGAATTGGAAAGTAGAACTTAATAATAAAGTTTCTTTAAACAATAATAAAGTTATTATTAGGTTTATTGCTTTCTGGCATTGCTTGGGGACGGCCTATGTTCAACAGTGGACTTGTGAAGGGTTGTAGTAATGATTACGATAATTAAATATGTTATGCAGACTTGATCTAAATACTTGTTCTAATGTTTTTTAATTTGCTTTTGGTGAATCTCTCGTGTGTGAGTAAATTCTAGGTATTTATATCCAGTGTTTTCGTTTACATGTTCAATGGTTTTGCTTTTTTGAAGAGTATATGAATTTTGTTCTACTTTGCCTCTGCGAATTGATTGTATCCTACACTTCATCCATTCCAAATCCAATTTGAATATCGGTTGAGTAGTTTTCCGTTTTATCAGCAAGACTATGTATTTTTCCTACATCCATACAATTTACTGGCATCCATATAAATTTTATGTGTTATATGTTGTGTATTTATGTTTGTGAATTTATATCCCTTGTTAAAAAGATTAGACAGTGCCAGGTAGAACCAAAGAAGGCTTAATATATCACCTTGAAATATTTCGCCTCGGATCGCTATCATATCGGTGATAAACAGGAGTCACCTTAGAAAGTCTTGATAGTTGTCCTCCAATTTCGAGTTAAGCATTGAATTTTTAATGTGTGTAAATTTTATAGTGTTCTAAAATGTAGATACGCCATGTATAGGGTACTAAGTCCATTGCTTTATTTAGTTAATAAACATGGTGAAAATATTTCTTTTTTTGGTGGCTGCTTGTTTAGAAACCATTGCATCGATAGTTAACTGTTATTTGCAATTGCAACCTAAGCTACATTTTCCGCATTATTCTTACTGTACTGCTAATATTTACATTCTGCAAGATAGCGTGCTTGTAATTTAATTGGCTAGGGCAAGACATAATAATCTATAGCAGTTTTGGATACAAGTTATTGGCCTGTATTTGGCAGGGTTTTTGGGTTACTTCGGTTTTCATGTACTTTGGCAACTATTCTGGTTATTTTATAATAGTGTTAATATGTGAAAGTAATATCTGATGTAATTATAGTTTTATACCAATAATTGTGGGTTTTATTGGTTTCAGTAGCTTCCCAGTTGTGTTTTGTTAATAATTTATATTAGCAACTTTTTGATGGTCACCTGCAACTAATTCCTAAGAGGAGTGTGAGATAAAGGCGTTAAAAGGAACATGAGTATAAGAAGAAATTACTCCTGTTACACCACACAAGGTACTCTGTTACTAAATGGCAGAAAGAAAATAAAATGGTTTTTTTTTTTGGGTGCGAGAGTTAAGAAATGATTTCGATTTCTTTTTGTAAGATAAAGTGAGAAACATAAAAAAGTACAATAAAGTTACAATCTATATACATCCTACTGCTCACCAGTCCTCCACAAGCCTCGTCTCTTTTCTGAGAGAATCTTAAGAAAGATTAAACATATTATTTTCTGTTTCAATGTTTCACCTACACACCTAGTTATCAAACTATCCGTTTGTTGCTGTTCTAAGACTGTTACAATCATAACGGCCGCATTTAACTTCTTTGCTTAATATTTACAGTGTTGGCTTTACTCCAGGAAATAAAATTATATCGATCCGGAACGAAGTTTACACATGCCGTTTTACGAGTACTAGGCTTTGAGAATATTGCAATCCATCAGAAGATAAACTTTTATCATGTACAATAGGAATAATTACTTTCATTACTACGTCCAGAAAGGCGATAGTGGTATCCATAATACGAGTAAAAAGTTATATCAAAGTCGGAATTCAATATTTTTTATTGTGACAATAAACATTTACACAATAAACATTACATTTTTAGGATAAAGGTAACGAACGAGCACACAGTCCACCTGATGGTAAGTGGTTGCTTTGGCCCATAGACATCTACATCTATCCCCGATTACGAATCAAAATGCAGATACCTACGTTGTGTGTCAGCATAAGCGTTGAATATCACAATGTAGGATCTTAAATTTATAGCCTAACACGCACTCGTAACAATGCGAGGCATTTTCTGCCGACTTCCAAAAAGGAGACGGTACTCAATTCGACAATTCGACTGTATGTTTTTTTTAATGTGTGTTACCTCATAACTTTTTACTGGGTGAACCGATTTGGATGATTATTTTTATAGTTGAAAGCTGGTACTTCTCGTGTGGTCCCATATGAATTTCATCATAGTCAGACCAATAGTTTTTGAGTTATTCTTAATAACTCATATTGAAGTAGGGTGTACAAAATTATTAATTTTAAATTATAAGAGCATTTCAAGTAAGAACGGTGCTTTTCTTATCGTCACATGTCGATGTGTCGTGTTGATTCGTCGGAAGTCGACTTCTACTCGATAAATGAAAGCAACCTGCTCTACTATTCACTAGTGTGTTGTGTGGTGCGAGGCATACATGTCACATAATGAACTATTCCTTAACTAAAATTACTGTTATAAATTTTTTAATACACAAATAATGTATTAAAAAAATTACATTATTTGGGATTTAATTACTAAACATAATTTCCTACATTCTTGCAAATTGCGCAATTGTTTTAATCATAAAGCTAAGCATATAATATACCTTTGTGGGCATTGGTGTGGGTTAGACGTTAAGTACTTATATATATATTTATATATAACTTAATACCAGCGTAAAATAGCAGCTTAGTGCTGCTGTGCTTCATATGGTAAGTGCAGAGAACCGGAGACCTCAGAGGTGACAACGCATCCGCATTTTGCTTCTTAATTGAGGATAAATGTAAATGTCTATGGATCAAATCATCCACTTACCATCAGGTGGACTGTGTGCTCTTTTGTCACCCTTATTCTATAAAAAAATTATTTTATTCATATGTCCAAAAACATACTCGCAAGGAAACGAAATTTTTCAATAAATTTATAACAATGTGTTCAGCCAAGGGAGCGGCCAATGCTATATGTGGTAATCTGTACTGTAGTCTGCTTACTAATCCGTTGGGCTATGTTGGTCACTCTGGTTCTACTGCAGATATCCTCATTTCTAAGTTTATCATGCAAAGAAACACCGACCACATCGCTCTGAGCCGCTACACTCCGTATAATAAGAGTTATTGCGGAGTTTTGTTGTTAAAAGTAGGAGATATTATCGGCGTACATTTTACGGCGATAATCCTCGAATATTGATATTGATTATGGAACGAAGCCTTTAGTTTTTTTTTTGGATCCAAGTTATCGCTTAACGATTATCAGCACAACAAAATATAGTTACTTGTCAACTTGAAAATTTAAAAAAGAATCATCTTTGGCATGCCCTGTTTACAGCCTGGTTCAGTAAGGTTGTTTGGATTTGAGCCAAATGAACGTCAAAGTCATTACATCAAGTAATGCCCTCTAGTCACGCTCTGCGACGCTTTGAGGGAAAGTAAATAAAGACAAATGATTCTGTTATCAAACCAGCTTACATATAACATTGAAATAGGTATTTAGACGAGTTGTTTATTGCTTAAATTTAACATAAGCTACCATTTTGAAACATTAGCAACACTGATTGAACTTAACAATCCTTTTAAAATGTAGTTAACAGACGGCTAGGCATCAAAAAGGGTTCTGTCTAAACTTTTTAAGTAAAATACCCTAAAAATATACACATGATGTTGTATCAAAGGGCCTCTAAACGAACAAGGTTGAACGTTGTGTTTTGTGGTGCTAAAATAAATAAATCCTCGTTTGCGAATCATAATGCAGATGGTTGTCACCCATAAAGACTAAGATAGAATGCCTCTTTTCCAGTAAAAATGGTCTCCGGTTCTCTACACTTACCATACAAAACACAGAAGCATTAAGCTGCTATTTTACGTGCTACAACTATACAATCAATATAGTTGCAACATGGCTCTACCACG